AATGCATTAGGTCCCAACATTTTTCCTTTTTAATTATCATATATGACAACTCCTCTAGTGTTTTATTTTATATCATATCATTTTATCATAGCTTTCCATGTGTGTATGAAGGTTATCATATCTTTTTATCATTCATGTCGAACATATGTCATATCTTAAACTTATCATGTCGAACTTATCAATTCATATCATGCTCATATCATCTTATATCATATAATAGTAACATAACCTGAGCATGTCTTCAAACATATCATATCATAAACATACCAATTTATCACATACATCATAATACTCACATATCGTATAATACACATCATTTCATAACAATTTTAATACACGAGCATATGACACGTGCGTAGCCGCGAACACATGTCATCATTCAACATACAATTACAGACAAACTGACAGTAGGACCACTTACTTGATTGGCCTTTGTCGGTGTTTCCCTAAATTTGAGTACGTTTGTTTCCATCCCTCAAAATTGCTCCAAGTGTCATTGGTTGTCATTTCCTATTAGAGTATCCATCCTGTTTCCTTAGTAAAGAAATTCAAAGGCAAGTGGAGGAGCTCATGGAGAAGGACTATATAAAAAAAGTTTGAGTCCACGTTCTATACCAGTCTTATTGGTGCCAAAGAAAGATGGAACGTAATGCATGTGCGTGGATTGTAGAGCCATCAACAAAATCACTATAAAGTATCGACATCCTATTTCTAGGTTAGATGATATGTTTGATGATTTGCATGGTTCTTGTCTATCTATAAAGATTGATTTGAAATATGGATATCATCATATTAGAATGCATGTAGGTGATAATGAAAAATAACTTTCAAAACTAAGTTTGGATTGTATGAATGGCTAGTTATGCCTTTTAGGTTGTTAACTGATGCTCCTAGTACATTTTGCACTTAATGAATCATGTTTTGAGAGAATATTTGAGAAAAAAATATTGTTGTGTATTTTGATAATGTTTTAATTTATTCGATGACTTTGCATGAGCATGTGGAGCATGTTAAGTCAATTTTGATTACACTTGGAAAAGAGAAACTTTGTGTTAAGTTTAATAAGTTTAGTTTTTGTAAGGAAAAAGTTAACTTTCTTGACTTGTTGGTAAAAATGGAGTAGAAGTAAATAAAGAGAAACTTAAACAATTAGGGATTGACCAATACCAAAAAATGCAAGTAGAAGATTTATAAAAGATTTTATAGCACCAAATAATTAGGGATTGACCAATACCAAAAAATGCAAGTAGAAGATTTATAAAAGATTTTATAGCACCAAACAATTAGGGATTGACCAATACCAAAAAATGCAAGTAGAAGATTTATAAAAGATTTTATAGTACCATAGTTGCACCATGACTGAGTGAAAAAGAAAGTTGTTTTTAAATGGGGAAATGTAAGAGACAGCATTCAATGAGCTTAAGAAAAAATTAACTAATACAAGTGGTTTGCGCATAGGTGCTTTTTTTTTTTTTTTTTATGCAAGATGGAAAACTCTTAATATATTTTAGTGGAAAAATTAAATGGGAGCAGCATTGAACTATCTACCTATGATAAAGAATTTTTAGCTTTAGTTAGCACAGTGCAGGTGTGACAACACTACTTATGGCTTAGAGAATTTGTGATCCACTCTATTCATGAAAGCTTAAAGTATATTAAGTGTCAAAGCAAACTAAACCTTAAGCATGCAAAGTGGGTGGGGTTTATTGAAACATTTTCATATGTCATTAAATATAGGCAAGGTATGGATAATATGGTAGTTGATGCATTATCTAGAAGGTACAATCTCTTTATTTTTCGTGCAAAAATTCTTGAATTTGAGCATATTAAAGAATTATAGAGAGATGATCAAAACTTTGGAACTATTTATGTATCTTGTCTGGCAAAAAAAAAAAAAAAAAAAAAATTGTGAATGATTTTTATGTGTTTCATGAATATTTAAGAAGGTACAATCTCTTTACTTCTCTTCGTGAAAAAAAAGAATTATGGAGAGATGATCAAAACTTTGAAACTATTTATGTATGTTGTCTCGCAAAAAAAATTGTGGAGGATTATTATGTGTTTCATGAATTTCTATTTAAGAAAAGTAATTTTTGTATTCCTAAATGTTCTATGATAGATTTGATTGTAAAAAAAGCACATGATGGTGACTTAATTGAACATTTTGGGATTAATAAAACTTGTAACATGTTGCATGAACACTTCTTTTCATCAAAAATGAAGCACGATGTTCATAAGTTTTGTAATCAATGTTTTAAATGTAAATAAGCTAAATCTAGATCACAACCAAATGAATTGTATACTTCTTTGAATGTACCTAACGAACCTTGGATTAATATATCTATAGATATTGTTCTTGGTTTGCTACATACAAAAAGGGGTAAAGATAGTATTCTTGTTGTGGTAGATAGATTTAATAAAATAGCTCATTTTATTGCATGCAACAAGACGGATGGTACAAAACATGTTGCTCACTTATTCTTTAGGAAAGTAATAGGATTACATGAAACCCAAGAATTATTGTTAGTGATACGGATGTTAAATTTTTAAGTCACTCTTGAGAAGTATTGTTGGTAAATTGGGTATCAAATTATTGTATTCAAGTATATGTCATCTTTAGACTGATGAACAATATGAGATGGTTAATAAAACATTAGTGGCGTTGGTTAGGGCTACTATTTATAAGAATATTAAGTCTTAAGACGAAGGTTTGTTTTGTAGAGTTTACATATAATAGAGCAATTCATAGTATCACTCATTGTTCTCATTTTGAAGTTGTTTATGGAATTAATCCATTTACGCGTAAGGAAATCATTTTTCAACCCGATAACTGGGTTTGGATACATTTTCGCAAGTAGCGATTCTCATCTTAGAGGAAGACAAAGTTTCATCTAAGAGAGAATGATCCTTATCAAGTTCTTGAAAGTATTAATAACAATACCTATAAAATTGATCGTTCTGGAGAATTTTCAAGACATAGAGAACAAATTCGGAAGATGATAAGGATCACGGTATTTTAAATGTTCCAACTAGACTTATTACACGGCTTAAAGCCAAGAACATTCAACCAACATTCATCTTTCCTCTACAAAAATGGGCAGACTTGGTTCAATCATTCTTTCTGTGTTGATTGGATTGAGAAATAACCATTTGTAGAATGAGAATGGAAATATTTGGACGGATTTACTATAAATAGCACTTGATTGATAATTTATTAAAAAAAAATTATTTATTATTTTAATTTCATAATTTATTTATTTTATTTTATTTTTTTTAGTGGGCACTTAATTGATAAGTTAGGTGTCAAAGTGGTTAACTTCTTTTTTTGTAGGAGTAAATCATGACACTAACTTCTTTAGCAGGCATAAGAGTTAGTTTCTTTTTTGGAGAGATTATAAAATACACACAAATGACGGTGTAAAAAGCATTTGAATTTGAGTATCCTCTAGGCCCTTTCTAAGTTTTAAGTCATTCTTGTGATAGATTACATCTGAATCACTCAATCAAATTTTGATCAAGTTCGATTGTGAACTAACTTAATTCAGAACAAAGTTTCAAATATTTCTTCTAGATCTTTAATCTTAACAGGTAGTCTAATTCTAGTCTTATCACTTGGTTGATCCGAATTTTGTATAAAGACGTGTTAATTTCTTTGATTCAAGGATTATGGTTTCTACAAAAGCTTCGATTTTTTAGCTGAGGATTAGGGTTGTCTTATTAACTAGGGTCTAGACCTTTGATCAGCGCTCACGATCATAAAAAGTTGTTCTATTGGAGGCATCTTGACATAGGTTATCGTAAAATTGTCTCAGTTCTAGTGTCTTATACTAAATGCGTTCATGCATTCTCAGACAAGGAGATAACTCAATCAACCATCTAGAATAAAAAATCTTATTCTTTATATAGAGTATCTAGCATAATAGAAACATCTCATACAACTTAAAAATCTCATTCAATAAGAGTCTATAAGTAGGTTATCTACGGAATAATTACTATATTCATTTTTGGTATTCTTTGTTTTCTAGATAGATTATAGATCTGGTTATCGGGGTAGGAACATATAAAAGCCCTGCAGTTGCAGAGACCGTTCGGGATCATTTTTTTCTGTTATATTTGAATATTCTTTTGATACTTATTTTGTGAACGTTTTTCCGTCTCATGTGGACATGTTTTGTATCTTCGAACTTTAATATAAATTTAAGTCCTCAATGTTTTAAACTAATTTCTTATTTTGAAAAAGAGATCACCACATTTCAACAACACCTCAACCTTAATCCTTAAAAAAAAAATTATTCTCCTGTAGTATTTATGGCTACATTTACTCTCATAAAATTTCATTCAATTTGTAGTATACTTGAGAAATTTTAGGGGACAAAAAAAAAAAAAAAAATACAATTTCGAGAGTTGTATAAATAACAATGAAATAAATGAAAACTTTGGAATTAATTTAGACCTCGTGATTTATACCATTTACAATCCCTCATCGGTCACAGACAGAAACAAAATATTCTTAGGGGTAAAAAATATCTCCCTTAACAAACATGTTTTAAAAACGTGTGGCTGACAACTATATGTAATAAGCTAAAGTGAACATTATCTACTAGAGGTGGACTTCTACCGTTACAAATGTTTTAAAATAAAATTGTAACTCATCAAGGTCGGTCTTAATTAATTCAGCTACAAACACTTATTTTAATGTTAATATGAAGTTTATATAGCTAAATGGACATTTTTTTTTGTAATCTTTATCTCCACTCTCATATGTCTCTCCAATGTCCCATTTAATGCTTTTTACGTAACTAATTGAGTCTTGTACGTAATCCATTTTGTCGACAAACCAAAAACAAAACATAATACATAAAACTTAGAAAGAGGCAATTCAAAATAAATTTATCAAATCAATAAAACATTAAGAGACGAAAAAAACAGTTGGAGCATTAATGTTACAAATGAAACCTTATCATTAAAATTCCAACACCTTTCCAATAATAGTCCTTCCCTCTTGTGTTGAAGCTTAAGGATTCCCCTTTTCCAAGCTTCCATTGAATCATAAGGTACCAGATGACCAACAACTTCTCTACCTCTCTTCTTCTCACAATCTTCTTCTACATCTCTCCATCTCTTAGCACATACAAAGATTGCTCCCTCGTGTTCAATTGTGGGAAGATCGCTGACGTTGGCTTCCCTTTCTGGGGCGAAGATCGTCCGCCAAGCTGCGGAGTTCCTAAATTGAAACTCACCTGTAAAGATAATATCGCCGGGATCGAGATGATGCAAGTGAAATATAGGGTGTTGCAGGTGACATAACACTTTTGATTTAAGATATAAAGTTAGTAAATATTTTAACCCGTTGTAATTAGTTATGTTTTTTTTCCTTAAATTTTATGTCAGGGTAGGATTTGGTTAATAGTATATTTTCTATTGTCTTTTTGGGAGTTAGTTGATAGCTAGTATCCTATTTAAAATTTATAGAAACTGATTAAGATTAAACTTTCGATTTCGATCCTACTCTTGCTTTTGATTTAGTATAGAGAAGTCGAAGAGGAGGAACAAAAGGAAAGTAACATGGATCGAAATTGAGAAATTTCAATCCAATCTCTATTTCTCATTCTTAACAAAAGCATGTGATTCATGATTGAAGTACTCTCCGTATTCATATTCTTAATAGGTGGATCCGAGTAAAAAAACGCTCAAGATGGCGCGAGACGACTATTTGGACGGCATCTGCCCAGAAACTCGTCTGAAGAACACGACCCTGAACCCAAATCTCTTCGAAATGGGGGATGGGTACGTGAATCTAACACTGCTTTATGGGTGCAATTCACCTCTTATGGTGGTTCCTGACCATTTGAGATTCTCGTGTCCCGTCCATGGAGATGGGTGCGTGAACCTTGGGGAGGAAATGGGGCTATGGGGCTGCAAGGACAGCGTTGTGGTTCCTGTTCGTGGCGATGAGGGGCTTTTGGTTGGAGTTTCCAAGATGGAAGAAGCCATTAAAGAAGGGTTTGAGGTGAAATGGAAGGTGGATAGCGGTGGTTGTGGTGGCGAGTGTGTGGAGTCCGGTGGCGTTTGTGGTTATGATTTGAAGCTCCGCCGTGGGATATGTTTCTGTGAGAATGGTGTTTCTTCTTCTTCTTCTTCTTCAGCAGATGTTTGCCGGAAGGACGGTGGTGCCTCCGTCCACCAGGCGTCAGGCTCTGCAGCCAAGACAGGTTTGGTGGTGGCTTTTCTCGATGATTCAATACTATATTGTCTTTGATATTTGCTAAGTAGTGTGACTTATCAGATATATTTTAAAGTTTTAAAATTTATGAGTTTGTTAAAACAAAAACAAACACAAAAACATGAATTATTTTGTTTCAACTAACAAGTTTGATGTTGTTCCACAGGTGGGAGTGAATCCAAGAAAAAACACATAATAATAGGTATGGATTACTTTGTTTACACATATGTATGTAGATGTTCCATAAAGTGATTCAGTTTTATCTGTAGGCCTTTGTGTTGGAGGGGCAACTGCATTAGGCTTATGCCTAGGATGCTTTGTCTTCTGCATTACACGACGAAATAAAAAACATGTTCATCCCAAGTTGAAAAGCAAGGATCTTGCTTCGCCTCCTTCAACTGCACCCATTCTGATTCCCTCCACGTTTCGCTCTAATATCATTCCTTCCTATCCTTATTCGAGATCCGATCTCGAGAACGGAAGCTCCTACTTCGGAGCTCAACTCTTTACCTATGATGAACTTGAGGAAGCAACTCATAATTTTGATCCTTCAAAGGAGCTTGGAGATGGAGGTTATGGTACTGTTTACTTTGGTAAGGATAATATCCTCATTTGCTATTGGGTTTAAATACCATAGGTTAGTTTTGTTATATTTATGCATAATTCTGCAAATTGGGATCAAAATGACCCCTTTTAGAATAAGAGAATAGAAACGGGATATTCTAAAAGTACATGGACTAAACTTTGACTAGAGTTAAAAGTCTGTGTAATAAAGAATCTTGCACTCTTAGGCGTACGACCTAGCATCGTGAATGAGAGGAGTTTCTATGTAACAGCTCAAGCCCACTGCTAGCCGATATTGTCATTTTTAGAGTTTCTCTTTAGGACATGGTGTCTGCTAGAGAGGTTTTCGTAGGTTTTCGTACCCTTATAAAGAATGTTTCGTTCTCCTCTCCAACTGATGTGAGATCTTATAATCCCCCTCTTTCGGGGCTAGTGTCCTCGCTGACACAGAGCCTTGTGTCCACCCCCTATGAGGCTTAGCCTCCTTGCTGGCACATCAATCGTTCTCTTCTCCAATAGATGTGGGACCCCTCAATCCACTCTCCTTCGGAGCCTAGTGTCCTTGCTGGCACATTGCCTCGTATACACCCCCTTCGGAACTCATCCTCATTGCTGGCACATCGCCCATTGTCGGGCTCTGATGCTATTTGTAACAACCCAAGCCCACCGTTAGCACATATTGTCCTCCTTATTCTTTCCCTTTTGGGCTTCCTTTTATGATTTTTAAAACATATCTTGTAGATAGGTTTCCACACCTTTATAAAGAATGTTTCGTTATTCTCCCAACCGATATGGAATCTTACATCTCGCTGTTTGTGTTATTCGATACTAATTTTTACTAAATCGACCCGATGAGATTTTTTAATTCAAGTCCCGAATAGGGAGATTGAATTTCTCTATTAATTGGAAAGGAGTGCTTCAGATCGGGAAGTAAAAGAAAGACAACTTATTCCTACAATTGCGGTCAGTCTCGGAACGTCGTTAGTTGCCACTCCTATCCATATTGTCTTTTTCATGATGTCAAGAGAATTTTAGTGTCTCATCTTCTCTAAACTACAAGGATTACAATGAACCAAAATTGAGAGTACAAATAGAATTTAAACCATTTTTAATGTCTACGTTCGCTTTAAGAACTCATGGTATTGTTACTTAAAACATTTGTTTGATTGTGAATCAGGAACACTTAAAGATGGACGGATGGTTGCAGTAAAGCGTCTATACGAAAACAACTATAAACGTGTTGAACAATTCATGAACGAAGTCGAGATTCTCTCACGATTGCAACACCCGAACCTCGTGAAGCTTTACGGATGCACATCTAGACATAGTCGAGAGCTCCTCCTAGTATATGAGTACATTCCCAATGGAACAGTGGCTGACCATCTACATGGAAAACAAGCAAATTCAGGTCAGCTCAATTTGGCTGTTAGGCTAAAGATTGCCATAGAGACGGCTAATGCACTAGCTTACCTCCATCGCCAAGACATCATTCACCGCGATGTCAAAACCAACAACATTCTTCTAGACAACAACTTCAAAGTAAAAGTGGCTGATTTCGGGCTCTCACGGTTATTTCCCCTCGATGTAACCCATGTTTCAACTGCTCCACAAGGGACACCAGGCTATGTTGATCCCGAGTATTATCAGTGCTATCAACTAACCTGTAAGAGTGATGTGTATAGCTTTGGAGTCGTTTTGATTGAGCTGATATCGTCGCTGCAGGCAGTTGATATCAACAGGAATAGAAATGATATCAATTTGTCGAATATGGCTATTGATAGAATTCAAAAGCATAGTTTGGGTGATTTAGTAGATCCGGATCTTGGGTTTGAGAGGGATTATGTTGTAAGGTCTATGATAATGTCGGTGGCTGAGTTGGGCTATCGATGTCTTCAACAAACAAGGGATGTGAGGCCTTCTATGGATGAAGTGCTGCAAGCTCTGAGAGAAATAGGGAAAGAAGTGCTAGACATTGGTAATGATATGTGAGGCTTTTAAGGAATGCTTTCATCCATAGCTCAAGATTAATTATTACTATTAGTTTATTGTTTATTGTTATCTTTTCAAATAATGATGTAGTTCCTATAAATTTGTGAAACCTGTATTGGTTTTAAATGAAAATTATGATTATCGAATAAAAATGAAGTTTATATGACACCCGAGTAAAAGAGGGATATGAACTAACTAAGAAAAATGTAAAAGAATTGAAAATTGCTACCTATACTAACAAGGTGCACCTTCCATTTGATAGCTCAATCATAGGAACTTCGTAATTAAGCGTTCTTTGCTTAGAGTAATTCTATGTTGGATGCGTATGGAAAATTTACCTATAATGCATGTGAGTGAGGACAAGTCATGCTGGAAGGACTCGTATTAGTTTGTGTGGATAGTGTTCGCTCTTAGAAGCGAGAAGTAAGTAACGTGACCATGTCTAGGGGATGCAGGGGAATGTTAGCCATTAGGTATCGAATTCGGATAGTAAATTCTCAGCCTAGGATCGTTGCAATTTATATGATGAGCTTATGTACTTTGAAGTTGATTAACTTTATATTCAATTCTAAGTAAGTTTTGCAATGACTTTGTATGTGTGTGTATATATAGACTCGAGTTTGCTGATAATTCAAGACCATATGACTATAACATGTCTTAAATTAAAATTTGTTGAGGGTTATTTTCCCTTGCATTTATTGTTCATAGCTCACATAGAGCACTATGAACCGAACTAATACTCAGTTTTCCATAGGATGGGATGACCTTTTGAATTATTGAACTTCTGACAGTGATAGCAATTTGTAGGTCCAAATGCTTTAAAGATATTCAAGGCTTCATTTGAAATTTGATTCAGAACCAGACTCAAACTTCCTTTTTATTTCAATTCCATTCTATACTTTACATGTTTTTAGGATTAGAAATCCAATGGCAAGAAATACAAGCCATCCATTTAGGTTTGAAAATTTGAGATTTTGGATAATGCTTTTCAATAAACTTATATTTTATCACTTTTTCTCTTTGAACTTTAGATATTATTGATTTGAATTTTAAACTAAAAAAGTATTTGTTATTGTTCATGAAAGAACAAATGTATGACTCGTATCATATGTATATGTCATGATCTTTTGTGTCATATGCATTGGGATACTTCTTAGTTATGATGAGTACGAATGTGTGTACTATGATATTATGTAAACCATGATATTATGCATGTTCTTTTCCCTTTGTGACTTTTTCGGCCACATATATGCTAGTCGAAGGCCACGTTCAAGGGTATGTATACAAGCATACCTAAGGGTCCATGTTCATGTACATAGGCCGTGTGTAGAGAAGTACTGCACGTCCAATCAACCCAAACTGGAAGGTGAGACCAAGACCATGATAATAATGAAAGGACAGACCCTAACATGATCGCATGTACTTGTATTTCTAAATGTTCAAGTCTTGTACTATGTTTTTTTAGGTAAAGGTAAGGTTCCCTATATGGATAACGGAGGTCATGGAAGTCTATGATATCATTTATAAAATGTTTTAAAAAAAAATTTCGGGCATAATAGATATCTTAGGAAGAAATTCGAACCAGAAATTGATCTTAGGAGAAATTGATCCTAGGATGGAAGTTCCAACCAAAACTCAAGAGCAATAAGTTGTTTAGTTTTTAGGCCACATTTAATGCATTTATTTAAAAGTTGAATGAGGTTAATTTATTGGAATGTTGAGTTAAAACTCTTCAAATTTTTTGGGAAGGAACCAAGTTTAATCAAGTTATGTATGAAAAAGAAATGAATATTGGAAGAAAATAAAAAAAATAAAAAGTTAAAAATGCAAGCGAAACTACAAAAATCTAAAAATTACGTTAATCAAATGTGAAATTCATCGAGGGGGACACATGTCAGCAGTACATAAATAAATAGAAAATAAATAGAGAATCGCTTCAAACTAGATTCAAACATGAACGGCCCGAGGTGCCCCTTGTGTTAGGGTCGTAATTTTTCAATTGCACACGTTGTGATCTTGACACGCTAACAACCAGTCTTGAGTAAAACCCAAGTCCCATATTCATTTTTTGTCTGATTTTGTGGTTTCGTTGGACATTAAGCGAGGTTTGTCTTCGTCAATCGAACGCAACTTTTAGGAATCCAAGCTTGTTCAGTTACACACACCACCTATGCGTGCATGTTCAATCATCTGCGACTCAATCGACTTGTCTCTACACTAAGTCAAGTCATTCGTCTCGACCTTACCTCTCCTCGGGGCTAAGGTCTCTCAATGCAACATTGTACCTCAACATCATCTAGGTTCCCAATTAACATGACTTACTCATCTTGACATCATCCCAAGCCACGAGGTGTTTTCGGCCATCATACCTTGCTCGGTCATGTTCATTGAGAATGGACCCACATATCATTCATTATATCAAGACATCTCGAACATCCATCCATTTGGGTTCTATCGAGGTGTTGGACCCTCCTGTATCCATAATGCACAATCCTTCTCGATCTCATCATATCTTGGCCCTCGTGTGGATAGATGGGTGCAATTTGAGGGTTACTGCTCTGCTTGTTGCAATGTGAGGGTCATAATCTACTCAATTTATACTATGGTTGTGAAACCGAGCTAATGGTTGATATATGAAGCCTGATGACTACTTATAGTAAATATTTGGTAGTGAAAGAAGTCCGACCCAAACGCGTAGAGGTAAGGAAAGAGAAAGGAAAAATGGAGAAAGGGAGAGGTTGTGCGTCCCTCGAGGTCCGACCCAAACGCGGGCCCTGTGCGGCCCAGCATGGGCATGCTGCCCAGCTTGAGCGTGAGGCCAGCAGAGCGAACCCAGGTGTGCGACCCAGGTAGCAGTCCAACCCAGTTCGGTCCAATAGGGTCGATTTTCCTCTTTTTGTGTAATTCACTCGCTTTAACTCCGATATTGGCACCATTTTCACCGGTATTTGTCATTTTTACTAACATAGAAATTATTTGAGGAGTTTGGCAAATTTTGGAACCTCTAGAGACGCAAACCCGATAAAAAAGTGTCATGCTTTTCAGATAAGTGGCACCTCGAAACTCTGAATTTAGCTAACTCGTAGTATGCATGAGAGTATGTTATAAGAATCATGTCATAGAAATTTGAGCATGAAATGAGTTGATTTGATGTATGTAAGAGCACGTTGAACGTTATGATGCAAGTTTATCGAGAAATAAATTGTTGAGTTATGATATGATTGAAATTGAGAGCATGTCTTTTGGTATGATATAAAACATGTTGTGGGAAACCGATTATTTATGTTTGAGCATAGAATGAGTTGAGATAACATATGTTGAATGTGATTATGTATCGTTACTCAAACGTGTATGCACTGTCTTATGAACTGAATTTATAACTTGGTATCCATGTTTATATCGTTATACTATGTCTCTGTTTCAGATATTTATGATGTATGCAGTTATACGGGGATGATTAAGGGTTCGCCAACTAACATCTAATCGTCAACCTGACTCGATTGTCAGGGGTCTGGATAACCATAGAACTGGCTTATGATGTTTTATGATTTATGATTGTACCCGGTGAAGACAAATATGAAGTTACCAGTTAGCATGTGAGAAGCAGGGGTCCACAACTATACCTTATGAGTTGGTCACAATTATTGTTCTTGCATGCGAGTTATGCAGTTACATAAGACCAGTAGGGATTCGCAAACTAACCCCTCATCGTAAACTTGACTCGATTTTCAGGGGTTTGGATAACCATAAAATCAACCTATTTTATGATGTATGGTTTGTGCCCAGTGGGGACTATTAAGAAGTTTGCCAGTTACCTTTTTTTTGTGAATCTACCACGAGCAACAGGGGTCCACAGTTACACTTTAGAGTTGATCGAGTTTTAGCATGCATGAACCCTATGAGATTTATACCGAGTTCGTGCCTCAAGGACTTTGAGTAAGGGTGGGAGGTCTGGAAAGGAACAAGAACAAAAAAAAAAAAAAAAAAAAAAAAAAAAACTTTTCAGGCGGAGTTTGACATAGTGGTCGAGGCGGAGGCACACGTGGGTGGGTTATTGGCTATAGGGAGTCCCATCACACTTGAGTTTGGAGTTCCTTTATACTTTTAAATCTTGCATTTCATGTATGTTAAATAGTTTGATCTTGTAGTGTAGTATTTTAGTGGTCTTTTTCTTGTTTCTTTATAAAAGCAAAAATTTTCATGCACGTGTTTAAATGTTAAATTTTAGGTATTTTTTCTTATTTTCATATCATTGAGTAACTATTCCTAACTTGTATTCCTTAAAAAGTAGAGTCGTTACCATTTAAAATTGATTAAATGAAAACTCAAAATTCTTCATCCACTATTCGTTAAAAGAGGAGAATGTTTAAGTCGAGGAATGAGGAGGTCCCTAAGGAGTTGCTTGAAGAGATTCAATCTTACGCAAAAATGGGTAAGGAAACGGTCTTAGACAAGAAATTAAAGCTTAAGATGAAATTCGTCCCTCCTAAACTAAACCCATCCATTAGTTTGAGGGGAAGGTGAAAAAGAGAATTGTAGAACTTAAAATGCTGATAATATCTGGAAGTCCCATACCAAGCAAAATATATGGGTTTGCTTTGGCAAGAAGTATGTTTTTCGGCAAACTTTCAAGACTTATATCTCAATATGCAGTTCATGAGAAGTTAAGAATCTTATCCCTACAACTTCCTTGTAACGTGGTCTTTATGTTTCTTTAAGGAATTGAGGGTCAAAAGTTATTATATCAAGTTGTGGAGGCTGAGTTTCAGAGGCATCATGTAACTAATAGGGATATCTTAAACCATTTGTTTATATAAAATTGAACTACGAAATATTTAATCTCTCTTTATAAACCTATTAATTTAGAAGATTAATATTTCATAGGAAGATGATATGCGACTCGATTTGATCTTAAACCAGTTATGAACTTTTAGTTGTGATAGGTTGTCCTTTGATTTATCTCAAATAGACTAAGATTCATTTTGGATCATTTCTTGGTAAACATGATCTGTCACAATCTCTTTGATTTCTGATGTAGTCGATTCAATATGTCTACCATACTACATATTTATTTTTGAA